ATGCGGGCAATTCAAGGTGCAGCTAGTGCTCCGGTAGAAACGCTGGTTACCTCCACAGTGTCCGATATCTTTTTCGTTCATCAACGAGGGCAAAAGCTGGCCGTATGGGGACTCGCTATTCTTACAGGTGCACTTTTAGGGTAAGTCATCTTGAATCTGCTTTTTAGGTGCTTTTGGACTCATCATTTTCAGTCAAGTCATTTCAGGGGTAATCATCGAAACCATGGGATTTTCGGCTTCTTTTGGAATCACCTCACTTTGCTACATAGTAATCATTCCTCTGGTATACTTCTTTGTTCCAGAGACCTCATACCAACGAAAAACACTCGAGCACACTCATATCTCGGAGAAAGAATCCACGATGGAGATTGAAACCCAGGAAATAGAGTCCAAGAAAACATTTGTTGAAACACTTTCTCTGTACAACGGTCGTGTCTCTGATGCAGGCTTTTGGAAAACCGCAATCAAACCTATTCCGCTTATCGTCTACCCCGCCGTTATTGTCAGCACCTTTGTTTATGCATCATGTAGGTCGGCACATACTTGAGCCCATGAATAGTGTATGCTAATCTTGTGCCATAGTTCAAACATGGCTAATATCTTTCTCTCTCCTGTCCGTCAATATTTTCTCGGCTCCGCCTTACAATTTATCTTCATCACAAATTGGTCTTACAAATCTTCCCCAATTCTTCATGGGGATTGCCGCAACAATGTTGGCCGGTTGGACCGCGGATAAGATTGCTGCATTCATGTCTCGTCACAATAACGGTGTTTATGAGCCCGAGTTTCGCTTAACTCTGATGATACCAGCCGTCATTCTTTCTACAATAGGCTTTTTCGGCTTCGGTATCTCTGTTGAACGAGGACTACCTATCTATTGGCCTGTAGCATTCATGACGATCAATTCCTTAGCTGTACCCTTTGCGACTTCAGCAAGCTTCACATATGTGATTGATTGCCATCCCAAAGATGCAAATCAAGCATTTGTAACCATCAATTTCGTCAAGGCGATTATGGTGTTTGTCTCCAGCTCTTTCATTAATGGATGGCTGGAGACGGCTGGGGCAAAGAGCGTTTTTATTATTATCGGTTTAATCAATGCAGGTATCTGCATGCTGGCGGTGCCGATTTATGTTTACGGAAAGAGACTTCGAAGCTTGGTATGCGTTTAATTCCCATCGTCCGATTCATTCACCCTGCTAACAGGTTCATACAGATTGCTAGAAGCTCATGGGCCAAGAAACTTGAAAGATAAAAGTTAATTCATGATTATTTCATAACAGGATTCGTTTTGTTTAATTCAAATACAATGTATCGCGAAAGTCATTTATACTATCCTGCTTTTCGTCTCATGCATAGTACTTCATACGGAATTTTCAGCTCAAGATGTTTTTTAAAAAGATTTCAAAGATTTCAAAGATTTCAAAGATTTCAAAGATTTCAAAGATTTCAAAGATTTCAAAGATTTCAAAGATTTCAAAGATTTCAAAGATTTCAAAGATTTCAAAGATTTCAAAGATTTCAAAGATTTCAAAGATTTCAAAGATTTCAAAGATTAAATGGTGTCTACCCATTCAGAGGTTTTCTCATCTCTTTATAGACTTGGAATATAACCTACTATAAATGTCCATATAGGGGTCTACATTAAGTCTAATATATAGTCTTAAAGAATAAATACTTTGATTATTTCTGAAACCCATATATTGAGAAAGACAAAAACATCAAACCTAATCACCTCAATTATATTCAAACTTTCTACTAACTTTGGACCTGTATTACAGGTATTGCCCCCCATAGCACACGAATCTTTATAGTAGTTTGCTGTAAGAGTGACATCGCTCTGTTGAAATTGCGACGATTAGAATAAGAGTGAGATATTCCCTATGCACCCACAAACATTATATTGAAGCTCATAGTTCGAAAAAGAAGTAAAATTTGAGATTGGGTAGGTATTTATAGTTGATATTCTAGACCTGCCTCTTCTCCCCCTCCAAACAAAATACCACAATGCCACCTATAAATTAGTCAACCTTTGCTTATCAAAAAATTACATCCATCAATGGTCAATCCCAAAAACTGCGACCTGCATTTTCCCATCTCCGGTAACGCTATTGCCAATGACATCGCTTTCATTCGGGTTAGGTTTAGGTTCTTTCTCGCCCCTGTCTATCTTTCCTGTATCTCCGACAATGAATCCCGCAAACTCTCCCACACGATTATCAGCGACCATGGCCCTGGCTGTCTACCGACGCGGATTGGGATTCTCAAGTTGTTCCTCAAGTAGAAGATCAACGGAGCGCTCTGCCGTGGCTTGATTCACAATTCCTAAACTCTGGCTATCGACTTTTGAAAGCTCGTCGAGTTCGATGGGTACCAGATTTCCAATGATTTTTGAGCCGGGTATTATTTTCTCTTGCGGGTCCAGAATGAGGACGATACCATTCAATAGCTTTTGCAGTTATTCTATAGTCTACAAGGTCCATTTACATTTTTATATTATTATGAATTTTCCTCTATTATTCTCCGCTTTCCCCTTTGCCTTTTGATACCACGCGACAAGATTACAAATCTTCTGACTTATTTTGCCTATCAAGGTATAAATTTTATTTAAGTTTAGAATCTGAAATGACTTTTCGCTAGCCCTTTAAAAGAAATTCACTGTTTTTTAAAAGAAACTCGCTAACCCTTTAAAATAAATTTACTATTCTTTAAGAGAAACTCGCTAACCCTTTAAAAGAAATTCACTGTTTTTAAAAAGAAATTCGCTAACCCCTTAAAAGAAATTCACTGTTTTTTAAAAGAAACTCGCTAACCCTTTAAAATAAATTTACTGAATTATGTAAAGTAGTAAAATGTTTTTAATAATAAGATTAGTAGTCTACTATAATTTGTAATTCGATATTCCTCGAAAGAATCAAGTAGGAGTCAGATTCGAAGTCAAATTCGAGGTCTGACTGTTATTATTACAATTTCCCATGAGTAATAAACATCAATAATTAATTTTAATAAATAATACAAAATTGTTTTTGTTATCCACAACATGAAGCAACATGAAGCACTCATTGCGATAGCCAGTCCGCATGTTCAATCGTATCAGCTACGATATTCTAAGATGCGTTAATCTTCTTTGCCTATCTCTTTTACACAACTGAGCATCTTGGAAGGTGAAAAGGAATGCAACTTACACGAGGCATTTGGTCGCACACATGTACTTCCATATGATCATCGCTTCCCCATAAGAACCTCAAGCCTTTATGTGTATGAATGTTTGCTTTGCTCTCGTCACGATTTGGTGGTGTTGCAACACGTTGTGAAAGTGGCATGTCAAGTATATGTGATGTCGCTTGTGCATCCCATCCGGGCGCATCTCACGCAGTGTTGCCGTTGGGGGTTTGCGGATAACAGGCTGCAACCACTCACGCCCGCTATTTGCAGTATTGTACATCGCATAATGATTTCAAAACACTTTACTAAATCGACTCGATCTGTATCGGTTTGTAATAATAGAATAGCTTGCGTACTATAAGATAGAAATTGTGTAATTATACACAGATGACTAATTTTTGAATATAATGTTCCAAGTATAGATATACAAATATAAATAGAGCGAATTACTTTAAGCAACATCAAAGTATCATTATGAATTAAAAAACTTCAAATAATCCTATAAAACAAGCTAGTAAGTATATGCTGTGTGTTCACAAATCAAATGTTGAAGATGCCGATCATTCGTATAGTTGTGAGGACGTTTGACACACGAAATATGATCGGCATGCGCCTATTTTGAGGTAAGATCACACTGGTAGACACAATATATATATAGATTGAGGATATACGTACAATATCGAAGACCTTCATGTATTCTACTTTCAGATCCGTCAAGAACTCTAGAATTACACTATGGAAATTCAGTTCAAAAGCTTAGAATCATTTAAATAATCAGAAAGTACTTTTCATAAAGCAGAAGCAAACAAGACTACCTAAGTACCTATTCACGGGTATTTGGGGTATGATTCATCATGTGAATCATACGATCGAATATTATGTGATTCACTCGTATCTCATCCTCAAACCATACGGTGATTACATAACTCAAGCTCTTGTGCCTTGATTTCGAGGCAAGAACCTTCTGAAGGTCCACCGAGGAGAAAAACATCGATCCCTGATTCACCGAAAAAGAAAATCAATCATTAGTAAGCAGCAAATAACACGACCATCAGGCATGTGATCCAACTGTGTGAATTATGTGATATGTTCACGTGACTATGTAATTCAATTCGTTATTAGATCAAAGTTTTGAATATCAAGTGAATATTATGTGAATATCGTATGATTATATCTGGGGGTAAATCTGTACCCAGCAACTTTTGATGAAGTCTTTACTCTATCCTATGTATATAGCAAATTGGATATCCATCAAAATACCCGGGATTTTTATTTGGGTATATTTGAGTAAATCTGGCCAAGTGCCTATTCCTATGCGTCACAGCTGGTTGAGCAGCCGAGAAATTTTCCTGAATTGAAAATCAAGAAGCAGGCGATGCAAGTTCCGGAGTTGACTGAATGCTGATACTGGAAGTAGAAATGGAACTTTCCTGTACCAGTTCCGGTGACAAGAGCGGCGACTTCATGGATGAACATGGGGAAGTGCTATCTTGGCTTTAATTCGTATCTGGGGACCAGCGTGGTAATAATTCCTATCACCAACATTCATAGTTGAATATCTTGTACAATGGGGCGGTCTTTGGTACAAATACTGCTAATCAATTCTTGTAATAAAAGATTTCTTGATGCTACTAACTAAAAGACAACCAATAGATCCAAACTCAAATATGAAGGCCACCAGCTCTTCTAACGTCATGTCTCGAATTGTGTACCAAAACCAATAAGATAACAATTTCTGCGGCTCGTTCTCTCAGCCGCAGACAGTGAATTCTCTTCTTCCTGATCATAGGTTATATCTTGCAGATTGACGTGTATTTCAATCTTCAAATTCACATTCATGCTTGCAGCCACGGAACCATTAGACGTTTCGACACAGCCGAAGTAATCGGAAACACTGTCAAATTGCTGCGACCTCCCAATGCCGGGTCTTTGAATCTCTTCACGAGAACATTCTCAAGAGTTTCTTCGGTCTTTTTATATCGAACATTCCATGGTGCATCTTCTCTCAACGGAGCTGCAAGACCTTGAGATTCATCCTTAGCACCAGAAGCATCATATGTTAAACCAGACGATTGTGTAGAACCTTCTAAAAGTCTTGGGACAGACAAACCTTAGACATGCCAGAAGTTGAAATAAAGAGAGAGTAATAGACGTACCGTTCGAGGCACTTGGGGAAGAATTCGATAACTTGTGGTTCTCCGGACTGCTGGTAAGATTATCAGTGCCAAGTGGTATCAATTGGTATCGAGTAAGCATACCATCTGTCAGGAGTTCTTTGCCCTATTGGACACCAAAGACAGATTTTGTTGACACCGGTCATATTGTAGCAGGTTCGCAAAATCTTAGTTGAACAGTATTCAGAGGGGCACAACGTGAACTCGGAAACTCAAATGCTCTTATTAGATGATGATGCATTCTCCACAACGAGGGTAAACCACAATCTTATAAGCAGAAGGTCTAGAGGCCTCCACTTCAGAGTCTTCTCAGGAGAATATACTGCCGTTTACATTTAGTGGAGGCCTCAGCTATGTATCCTGAAGCTTAGCATGAGTTGGCACATTTGCACACTTACTCTCTCCCCCCCCTGAAAATAGGAAGGCAGCTTGGAAATATCGAAGAGGCCACCATAACGTGTGAGGATTCAATCAATGTAGAGCTGTAGTTTTGGCACAGACTCCTTCTCCCTTCATTCAAGGTGACTTCCTCCATATTCTCCCTTTTCTTCTTTCATCCTCCGCCACCCAATACGCACCCACTGACTCGCTTGCCCTCTGTGGCTGCCCATATCATTACGGCTTGTCTATTTCTCATGCTACATCACTTTTACATGAGCAATGACCTGATGAACGTGTCATACTAAGGTTCACAATATCACCGTACGGTTATCTAGATTTTATGGTTACCGATTCTCATTCTTTGATCATAGATAGGAGATGTGTACGCTCAAATTCATACAAGAAATTGTATAAGCAGTGCTTAGCGTACGCTGGTTAACACCCATTTTGCTACCGTACCGCCAATTCACACCCATGATTACAAATTTAAGGCTGCATGATTACAAAAAAGTGAGGTGGTAGCCTTCAATTTGCGTATATACGGCTAATTTGCAGTCTCACGAGAGTTCCCGAGCAAAAAAACTGTTTCAGAAGACCCAACTATAATCATTTTACCCCCCTTATCACAACTAAGCGAGACGTTCGCTTTGATTATTGCTACCATACAGTCAATAGCTGCCTTGCGCGAGTTTGAGAACATGTTTACGGTCTATGCTGCCTAGATGATTGGTAATACACCGTAACTTACGCTGCAAGAGAGCTTTCAGAGCCATTTCATTTGTGCTTAAAAGGGTAGTCTTTCCCACTGTTCTTGCTAAACCCTCTCATACAGAACAACTTACAATCATCTACCAAACAAGTTCTATCAAAAAACAAGAATCCATTCAGACATTCCAATAATACTCTCACATCTACCAATGCTCGATAGAGAAACATCCACGATTCGTCCATCATCTTCCAGTAGTAACAACATGAACAATCGACACAATTCTGAACGCAGAAGAGATTCACGCTCCAGGTCCCCTGGCAGAAATCAACAGGTTTCCTACCGCTCCCGATCACCACTCAGAAATCATCGTGGAGCCATGACTAGGAGCTCGCGCCCAAAGACCGGATCCCGCCTCTTGAACCTACCAAAAGAGTTACGGGATATGATTGTCGAACATCTTTTTGACTCAACTCGTCTCACATTCGGACACAGACAAATCAGTTCTGAATACCGCAAGGTTTTGCCAGCACGCAACGCACTCGCTATCCTCCGCGTTTGCAAACAAATGTACCAAGAAACTAGCAACATTTGGATCACTCGGGTCCTCTTCGACTTTGAAGATACTTTCCCACTGCTGGACAAGTTCTCCCTTCTACCATTCTCTACCATCAGCCAAATCCGTAATGTTCGCATTCGCATGAAGGGTGATGAGCCTGAAGCTCCTGAGACCGTCGAGGGTGAAGAACAATTGTATGGGCTACAGGTCTTGCAAGGACTGCAACTTGACAGACTCACAGTTGTACCAGGTTGGGGCGACTCATACACCGGTTGTGCAGACATCACTCGATTTATAACCACAAGTTTCCCTTGCAAGGAACTCTGCTACCACACTCCTACATCATGTTTCCATGAGAGCAATGAATCGACTTCGGTGGACGCAACAGATCTCGTCACTCGTCGCATCAACACTATGGCTGATCAAATCCTAGACAGAGGCCAATTCGGGACATCACTTACCATCCAAATTCTTCAGTCACCCGAGCCCAGCAGCCAGCGTACCGGCGCCGTCTTCAAAGATTCTGCAATTCAAGTTTTAAAAGAAACCTCGATTTCAAAAGATACCGATCCGGCTAAGATGATTGCATGTGGCAAGGCTTTGGATCCAAACGCTGAGACACTGGTCATCTTCAAGCCCATCGCGACATCTTTCACTATTCCAGATGAAGCCCTTCAAGGACTCTCCAAGACCGTTGACGACGTTCAAGTTAGGAAGACCTGGAGAGATGACTACAGAGATCATTATGTTCAGGAGGCTGAAGAAAACAAACCTGATATGGGAAATATCACCACTGGCGAACTCTATCCATGGCCTTTTGAAATGCGAAAGACTCATACCATCATTGATAGATATGAAAATGTTAATGATGTTATCTGGCCTGGAAAGAACGTGGACCAGGCGTGGTCGGGTGCAAATCTCAACTAAAAACGTCATCTCATCGGCCTTGTCGTTGTTTATGACGACCCCAATGTCTTGTTCACAACTCGAGTCTCCTTCTCACCCAAGGGTGTGTTCGACTGATTAATATCCTCGCACATCAGGTTTCCCAATATACTGTCTTTTCGACTAAAGAGCCTTCATCACTGAATGACAAGTCCTGGCAAATGCTGAGGACCTGAAAAACATTAGCATCATGGTATGGATAGCGTTGTGGAAACATAAACGAGAAAAAATCTTACTTCTTCTGTACTTCCTTCCTCGGGATATGGGTACTAGGTAGTTAGAGGAAACATCAACTAACGACACACGGGGCGGGATTGGAGTGCGGAGACAATTATAGGAAGGAATGTGACACTGTAAAATGGCATGGGAAAGGAACGGGGCTGATATACCCCTGCCATTGAGTGACGGACAAATTTCTTTAGGGCGGAGGGTCAGGAAGTAAATCGGAGGAAATTTCAATGTCTCAATACGTGGTTGGGAGGGATTAGTTGAGACTCTTTGGGCTTTAGGTGGTGCATAGTTAGTTTTGTTGAATTAATATCTTTTCAACGACTTTACTCCCACCGACTGTGACTGTGATTATGGTTGTGATTGTGATTTTGATATATTTTGAAGACCGATTTTTAACACGGGAAGAAATACTAACTTAATGATAGAAACAATGCGCTGGGAAATGTAGAATGATTTTCATGCATCGTGTGAAGATCCGATTGGACACTTGTCCAGGGTACACAAATCCCAACACTTCAAATGTCTCCAATAGATACGTGTTAAACTGCGGTCAAGGAATGTGATATGAAAGTTTGACTTGACCTAGAAAGACAAAATATATAATTTCAAGACCGGAGCTCGCCCATGTCTTACATAACCCAGAAGAATACCTATTTCCTATAAATTATATACCATCAAAATTTATCCTCGAATATTCAACACACTCAACTGGAGTAATATCAAAAGCAACAGGGAATATCAAACATCCCAGCCTCAACCGTCTCGCTTCCAGCCTTAGGAGCGGGATATCACGCAACCGCAGCAGCTTCATCCGCATCTGGAAAAGTAATACGGAACGTCTTCTTCCAGCTATACAATCATGGTATTTATTATTTCCGCCAATGGCAATCATTCTTCAAGCGTGGAATATGAAATTCGAAGTCCGAAATCTAGATACCGGTCGGAATGGTAATATGAAATATGATAATTATCTGTAGTGCCCGCAATACTCCTGGGATAGTTTCTAGAATATTGATATGAGTGGGTACGGCAGGTACAGTTTCTTTGAAGTGGTCTTCTACCACGGTAAAATGTATGCATAAAATAGTAACCCCGACCTTGGCATTGATGTTGAAATGACTCGGGGGTCCAAAACAAACATTTTGACCTGCTTCCTATTCTTTAATTTCTCCATTTGGTCAGATTTAATGGAAGGAGTTCCTCCTGACGACATGCAACAAAAGAGCTCGCTCGAAATATGCTTGTTTGATTTGCTGTGATCCAGCTCAGTCATTGCACATATCTTCCAGGATATTAAGCATTTTCTTTTGCAGCTCCACCAATTCATCCTCATCAATCATACCTTTCTCCCCCTCCATACTAGTCGTCCCAGTACTATTCGTGGCATCTTTCTTTCCAGGGATTCTGACCAATTCACTCTTCGTCCCAAAGAAAGGTATCCCTAAACTCCTTAATTTTCCATTCATCTCTCTGACCATTTGAGTTTGAGCTTTGTAAACTTTCATGTCGAATGTCTCTAGCTCTCTTGCCAATTCTTCGGGACTGGTGTTAGATGCCCCGCTTGATGTGGCTCCACCTACTGCTTTCCTGTATCGAGGTCAACCATTTGCATAACCGGAAATCGATCAATATAGTAGGACAACAACTCACAATACCTCTTCTAATTTCTTCTGTCCTTCCTTCCTAGCGGCTTGTCGCTCTATAAGAGCTTCTCTCGACTTCCACCATTGCTCTTCATGCTCATGTTGCACTTTGATCATCTATGTATATGTAAGCTCAAGTGAAATGCTTTACAGCCAGGTAATAGATCAAGTCAGACTGCTGATAGCAAATACAACCAACCTTCCGAATTTCCTGGAGTACATAATCGTGTTTATTCATCGTCCTCATAACACATCGCAGGCCTGCACTCCAGTCAATGATGGTAGCTGGATCAACGGCCTTTGAATTATTGATAGACTGTACTTGAGCTTGGAGCTGACCAGATTCACGATGTGGTATTGAAGGGGCTGCAGACTGAGACCATTGTGGTTGTGGTTGCTGTTGTTGTTGCTGCTGCTGGATTGCTTGACCATGTGACGTGATATCTGGTGTTTGAGCTGAAGCTATTTGCGTGGAAGGTTGAGCTTGTTGTTGATTCTTAGCTTTTGCTAGATTTGCTAAGATTTCCATTACAGAAGCAAGATCTGGAGTTGTATTATTGGACGACATTTTGACGAAATTGATGAATTTATATTGATTTATTGTTTCTTGATTGGTGATGGTAATGACTGAAGGAAGGATGAGAGGTCGCAAATATCGCGAAGTTTATATCATCGTCCTTGCAAGTATCTCTATCATGAATATGAGGTTAAACACTTCTTGATGTTGATATCTATAAATGCTGTACCGAAGATGTATAAATTGGTCTTGAGGTGCTTTGAATTGAATTGATACTGTACGAGTCCTCGAGTAATTATTGTTATTGATAATTCAAAGAGCTTCCATCATCAAGTCTGTGTGGTAACCTTATGGTATGGTAACCTTATTGCAGGGATGCGGAATGACCCGCCGCTAAGAAATCCCACTGGTCATTGACATCTCGAAAAAAATCATTCGATAATGAAAGTTCTATCATAACCCTCCATTTTAATACGACGACGACACCAGATTACGATATTTCTAAATCAAGATCCTCTTAATTAATATTTCAAAGGATGGCGCGCTCAGCAACAGATGCAACACGATTTACTTCGACGACCCCACACGCTGCCACAAAACCAAAACCCGTATCGAGAAATCCAGGACCACCAGGAGAGACACCGCAACAGAGAGTCAAGAGGTTAAGGGCTGCGGCAGATAAAGCTAGAGATGCACAAATTTCGACTTTTGACAAGTTCCTCTTAAGGGGAAGAGTGTGGGCGGATAAGGCGCATAGGTTTACAGCTTTCAGTTTGATTGGACTTACATGTATGATTTCCCCGCATCGTTGTCCGGTTCCAATTGGGAATCCATTGCTCTTGATTCGAGTCTGGAGGATCTGGTAACTCAAGCTGTACATCTGCTAATTGATTTCTTTTAGTCATTGCCGGTGGCGTCACAGTCTATGCATTGGGAGATATGATGGTATATAATCGCAAAAAGCGCGCCGAATTTTACGCAGAACAGAAATTCAAATATGCTATGGCACTTGAGAGTGCACAAACTGCCGCAGCATCTGGCACTGCAACCGAATCACAAATAGAGTTCTTGAATAGAGAAAAGGAGCGGGAACAGAAAGTGAAGATTGCGGAAGAGGCCAAAAAGAAGGCTCCCGGAGCATGGAAGAAAAGTAAGGATTGGTTATTTTCGGGCCTCAAGAAAGAAGAAGAGGGAGATGATGTAGGAACTAGTGAGAGAAGGCTAGGATATGAGGCATTGAGCGAAGAGGACGATAATCTTGGGGAGAGGGAAAGTGATGTTCTAAGAGCAATCGAGGAGAAGAAAATGGCAATACAAAATAAGGCCAAATCCGCATTTGAGGCAGAGAAGGAGAGACAGAGAAATGGTGGACCGCTGGATAGGATAGGGACTGATGGAGAAGAAGAGAAGCCGAAGTCTGGCGGCTGGACATCTTTCATGATAAGGAAATGAGCAGTGGGTGTGGATGAGGAAGGGGGCAAAAATAAAAGAAATAAATGAACGTCTATGTATCATATGGGATGAAGGTGTCTTGCATTGGGCTTGGCGTTCGATTCATTCTCTCCTGTACTAGAACTAGGAGGTAAAAATGGCCAAGCCGACGTCTCTCACTGTAGATTTGGCTTACTATTCCCAATCGCGTGTCAATGCTTCAGTGCTTTTAAGATTCGTAGATCCAACTGGGCGGATCATTCGGAATATAACGTTCGAGGACGGGATGTCAAAATAAAAGACACCATACTTTCGGCAAAATATGTACAGGAGGGTCTTGACCCCTTTTCCACATTCTAGACCTAATCTACGATTGTGCCAAATAGTTCTATGTCTTAAAGACTAGGAATCATTACCAAATATAGACAAATATGGGAACATATAAGAAGCATGTACAGTGCAGCACAACAATGATCCAGCTAGATCTTGAGAAGGGTCTCATAACGAAAGATGGTAGGTATCAACTTCAGAGAACCCCTTTCGAAGCTACTAATTGTTTTCAATGCCAGTTCAACCAGATATTAGCCCCACCAACAGGAGTAGTTTCATGCTAGTCTCTGAAATTCTGTATACACCCTCGCCTCAGTTTCCTGAAGGAATAAACAATCGAGCCATGATCATCACTCGGAAATCGGAATACTGGAATGAATCCATTGCTAAGTAACACTGCACAGCCCAGTCGTACCCGAAGACTCGTGATTGGTCCAGCTGATACTTCTTCTCCTTTTCTCTCGAGTCCGTTAGCTAGCACCCCTGATATCCAATAGTCATTAGCTTACACCATTCATATTTTGCCTTCCATCTTCCATTTACACAACAGAAATTAAGCATAAACAATTCATCTGAACAATTTCCAATCACCATTCAACTCTAAGATTGACCTAGATCATCATCCCCACTATTTCCACAGCTGTCAGATTGTCCAATTGGTTATTGAAGCTATATATAGTAACGCCAAGCTGGTCTTACAAGCATAAATTGCTGATCTTCTAGAAAAGATTCTTCATTTTACTTATACAAGGCAACATAAACAAATGACGTTGAATACGAATACACCGGATAACCCAGTCCGATGTTTACACAACATCGAAAATACGAGGGAAAAAAAGACACTTCATATGCAAGTAAGTATTTACTAAGTATGCAAGACGTCAGGGACTCGTAAATGTGGTGACGGTCGTTCTTGGCAATTGAATAAGTATCTCTTGTTTTCCCTTCTTGCCTCTTTCTATTTTGTTTCAATCTCTATTATATAATCTACCTATCACTTCACATACCTACTCAGAGTTCTTCATTGCACTCTATACAATCGTTTAAATTAATCTCTATTCATATCATCATCATGAAGTCAACATCTATTGCCCTCGCACTTGCGAGCACCCTCACCGGCGCAAACGCATACTGGAAAGGTTTCAACTCCCAAGCTACCCTCGGAAACGGTGCTTGCAAGACCCAAGCTGATTGGGAAAACGATTTCCGTCTCATCCAATCATTCCCCGGTGGATTCGACAGTTTAAGAGTCTACGCATCCTCGGATTGTAACACCATTGCCAACGTTGCCCCAGCTGCTATTGCCACCGGCGGAAAAGTTCTCTTGGGCGTTTGGACCGAGGATGCCGCTCATTACGATGCCGAGAAACAAGCTTTGTTGCACGCCGTTCAGACTTATGGTTTCGATTGGGTCGTTGCAGTATCTGTCGGCTCGGAAGATTTGTACAGAGGAGATACTACCGCTTCCACACTCGCACAACAGATCTATGACGTTAGAGGAATGTTGAGCACCGTTGCCGGATACAGCAGCGCAGTACAAGTTGGACATGTTGATACATGGACCATGTGGGCTGATGGAAGAAACGTCGATGTTATCAAAGCATGTGACTTCATCGGATTAGATGGTTACCCCTATTTCCAAAACACGCAAAACAACGATATCAGCCAGGGTTCTCAACTATTCTGGGACTCTGTAAACCAAGTCCGCACGACTGTTCAGAATGCTCAAAGTGGTGCTTGGGTTTGGGTTACCGAGAGTGGATGGCCTACTGCAGGTGCTCAGGAGAATGCGGCTATTGCATCGGTTGACAATGCTCGTACTTACTGGAAGAACGTTGCTTGCGAGGCATTCAACCAGGGACACACTTTCTGGTACTCTCTTCAGGACTTTGATGCCGTCCCCTCGTTCGGTGTTGTAGATGGAAATGGTAACCTCAAGTATGATTTGAGCTGTTAAGATACAGGTTGAGTGGTGAAGAGAAATTGGACTGTCTATTGGTAGACTACTCAGTATAACTTAATTCTAATGTAATTATACACCCAACTTCACGATTAAGTAACAGTGTGATATTATCTCTGCGCTTTCCTTGGCAGACCGGTTTTCGTTATTGATCCTTTGACCCTCATGAATACTGTCAGAATACAATTACACTAATCTTTGCTCAAGCAATTGAAGAACCATTATGAAAGCGAAAACTCATCTCGCTATCCTATTATTCTTTGTCGATTTGTTGGATCGAACCGTTGCTATATTAATACTTTTCCCCCTTCCAAACGATTCTTCAAACTCTCCAGACTGAACTCATATAGATTTCCCATCTACAGGATCTCTCAACTGAAGGTCGTGATTCAATTCCGGAGTACGTGCGTCCAAACTAGTCGAACAACACACTTCAAACCGGTAACATTTCACCATTAAACAGATCGACTTGAGAATTTGGTGTTTCTGTTTCGTTGAGTTGTTGATTGAAATGGTCAATCATCGACGATGTGGATCTCGAAGGCCTAATTGACTGATTGGGCGTACTCGCTCCGCCTTCATCGACTCTTAGAATGACGGTCAAATCATCCATGGCGAGATCTCCGGTTGGTATGATTTCGCTATTATGCGTTACTCCTTCATATGTTCGTGCGCTTTGTGGTAGTTTTGCGTGTACATTCTCCTCAGATGTCGGGGCCATGTGGTCAATAAGCCTGGTCGAGTTGTTTCTCACGATTTCCGTACCAGCGTCTACTCTCTTTTCATGCTGCATTACTGGAGAGATCGATTTTGCAAAGCTGGGTTTAGCATCCCTCACAATGTTGGTATCGACAGGCTGTTGTAAATCTTGAAGGGTAGAGCTCTGAAATGATGCATATGGTTGTGATTGTATATTCCGGCCAAGCTGGCACCCTCCGACTCCGGCGCGAATCAGATCATTACTGGAGTGGCGAAGCTGGCAATCTTCAGACCTAATATCAGGAATTGGACGAATACTCCCACTCTGCTGCATCTTATTGTAATGCGGCTCGCTATCGCTCCTTTGATTATGGCAACTATCGAGATAACTCATTTGCCAAATCCGGTATTGTTCAACTGCTCTTCGGGAGACTGGCGGATCGAAATATCCCTCTGCGACTGGAAATTCAAGTGGTGGCGGAGAAGTCTCGTCAGGGACTGTATGATTCATCAGATACATGCAATAAATTGAAATAGTTGGATTGCGTACAAAACTTCGTCCAGACTTGGCGCTCTACCATTGATTGGCGCATCTCTGGTGATAAGTCGCACTCTGTTTCCTCGACAGTTGAAAGTATTTCGTTGTAAGCCTGCATGAATGCAATCTGCGTGGCTCCTTTTTCTAATGCGTAGATTAAGATGCGGAATCTCATCGGAATATGGGCTTCATCTTTGTGGCTGTCTTGGGTTTTCATGGTGATGCGATATCGGGTCTTGAGGACCTTCTTTCAATGATCAATGATATTTTAACAAACAAAAATGCTTTTCAACTTGGATTTGATGAGAGGGATAAATTCTCAAAGCGTGGGATGGGTATGTTGATCTGTATCTTGGTTGGGTCTTCGAGGGGTGGTGATTCGAGATGAGAATCGCAAAGATCCTCCCTCAAGGGCGGGCAAATGACAACGAGGCAGGCGTAGAGATGAACTTTGAAGTTATCGTCGCAACTTCCCCATCTAACAATTCAAAATCTACGACTCGAACTTTAAATTCAGCATACACGTCTGAACCTCAACGCTTGAACCTCAGATCATACCACAGTCTGACTAGAATATTGCACAGGGTCTTCAAGCCGGCGAGTCAATTCATGTGGAAAATTACATTCCATCTTCTTCCGGTACCAACACGACCACAACAAAATGGTGCTTCGCCGGCCTTTCATAGATGCCAAAGCGTAAAGGTAGATTGGAGCAGCTAGAGTGTCATCGGCGGTGCTATTGCTCAACTCGAATGTTAATGTCTTATTTTTCATTTTCTGATCTTCATTGGGGAAAATGTACAAAGATTTCGAAGAGCTTCTTTAGAATATGGATGGAGGCTTTGGATTGGTGATCGGTAAGAAACATCGATGCTATGGAGCTAGAAATGCTTTGTATATAATGTTGGTGTATCCGCTTTGAGTTTTATCATTGCTTCGGAACCGATTAATGCACAATATGATGCTTATGGATCTGAATACTGGTCATTGTCTGTGTTGTCTGTGTATAGAATCAACAAATCTCATGACGATGACGTTTCCTTCTTGACTTGTATCCATCTTTAGAGTTACCCAGTAGATAAGAGATCATAAAAGGCTTTGATAAATACATAAGTTGTCTCGGGGTATTTCTTAGCCATTCTCAAAGCCGGAATGGGGATGTACTAGACAATGCAAAGCACACAAGTGTAACGAGCCTTCTTGTAAGAGTCTAGGATTTGACTTGTCCGAAGAATTACGCCGACTCATCAAGACGAGGCACAAGAAGTCTGAAAAGCTTGAATGTCCCTATCAAAGTTGCCAAAAAACTTTCACCCTTAATGATAAGCGACACAGACATATTATAAGGCGGCACTCAAACAAGCCCAGTTAAGCTTGGTCAATTCAACAAGAGAAATTTCGAAGATACAGACAGTATTACAAGGTTTCCACTGCCTAATAAAGTGAGAATGGAAGTAGTTGATTATCATACCCATCTTGGGTCGATGGAAATGAATTCGAGTTCTTCAAAGGACTCAAGCGCCGCAAGCTTGCAAACCAATTATACGACGTCAATTCAAGAGATCGGCCACGGATGTATTCCGATGGATGACTACTTGCTATTTGATGAGCTGTCCGATGACCGCACACCAGTTATCGGCTCATTCATCCGGTCATTTGCAGCCTCATCTACGCACGCGAGGCACGGCACTCTAAGCGAATCGTCAGTTTACGACACAATCAGCTTTTCATGGGGCTGTTGTAAGTTCGAGAATAGGGAATTTTCCAAGTATAATGTTTTCCCGCCAAGATTTCCACATTGTTTGATTGGGATAATGTTTGGGTCGCGACTCAAACCATGGTTTTACAGGGGTAGGTATTGCAGGCATTCCCAGTACCTATCTTTCGGTATACCACAAGCTTCCACCCTAACATCATGGACATGGCAATCCGCTCGGGGCTTTGCCTAAAATGTTGTGTACATCTTGGGATGTATACAGAGGGAATTATAAAGGAAATTTTGTTTGTTTTCGCGCGTTCACTGGTTAGACTTGGTTGTTCTTTTGCAGACTTTGCGGGTTTTACCCTCAACAAACGGGCCGAGAGATCGGATCAATTTGACCTATTCCTTGTTTTGCCTTCCTGCCGAAGCGAGTTTTTTATCCTGTCTCCTTAGGATCAATATGCACCTAGCGAGAAGGTTTTCCCCTGTTCGGCATTCTAGAAGGAAGGCAGATTTAGTCACAATATACATTTGATTTTGAAATTCGATGACAATGGATTATTGAGCTTGGCATGACAATAGCCAGCTTTGTCATACATTTCGAACACTAGTCGGCCATTAATCAATTCACTCATGAATTCCCGTTAAATATAGAACTAGGTGTTACGTTGGATTCTTTCAGAGTCTAGATGTCACTGGAATATGCTCGCTCCAAGCGTAATATGAGCTCGTGACTCTGAACTTCTATTTAAGTAACTGATTTCATTGACACTTGTTATGGAGATATTGGAACTGGACAAAAGATAATAAGTCTATTTCTGCTCAGAAGGTGTGATAGGTTTGGAACTCTCGACCCAATCGAATGTCCCCAGAACTTGCGTTAACCAGACATCTTTAGCACCATCCGGAATCTCGTGCTCGGTGTCCTGATCTTCGCCAAACTGTGATCCACTCAAAAAGGTATGCGGGAATCCTGGATCAAAACGACTCGCTCTATCAATCTTGGCCATGTCCTCATCAGTCAAAACAAGCTTGAGGGCTTCGATGTTGCCCTTGATATGCTCAACCTTACGACCCCCAACAAGCGGAAAGACATATGGAGCCTTTTGCATGATGTATATCATGGAGATGCTTGTAATATTGGTGTTCTTGGAGGCTGCAATGCTTTCCAATACTTTAGACATTCGCTTTTCAAGAACTGAAGGCTTGCCTTGACGGCCAGGATTGTTTTTCTCACGCTCCTGGAAGGTGGCTTCTGTTTGGAATCGACCCTGGGCAAGAGTCCCCCATGGAATCAAGCACATACCTTCGTCTTTGCACATAGGAACGATATCTCGTTCGAAATCACGTTTGGCCGCATTCCATAGCCCTTGGTATACGACAAATTGACGAAGACCATGGTCTCTAGCATATTGATTTGCTTTCGCTACCACCCAAGCAGGAGTGTCAGACACTCCCAGATAATTGACTTTGCCGGAAGAAACGAGGTCATTGAGCGAAGTCATTAGTTCTGGAATGGTGGTTGCATAATCCCACCAATGTACATAAAGAAGGTCTACGTATTCAGTTTGAAGTCTCTTGAGTGATGTTTCAACGGAATGTCTGAGAGACTTAGTTCCGTTGCCTCCAAAGTTTGATTGAATTTTCCCGGGATGATGCTTCTGATAAGGGGAGGAATATTTGGTGGCAAGAACCATTTCATCTCTGCAGTCCCTTGACTTCATCCACGCCCCAAGCCAGGTTTCAGATTGCCCTGCTTGATATCCGTTGGCAGTATCGATGAAATTACCACCCAGACCTTTGAAAGTATCGAGTATTTCAAAAGAAGTTTCCTTGTTGCACTCTCCCAAACGAGCCTTATCTGCATCGCCGAAGTTCATAGCTCCAAGGCAGATTGGAGAAACTCGCACATTGGCTGTTGGAGCTAGTTGGCGATGGCGGAAGAGCATAGACTCAGGTGCTGGTGCTAGTGGGAATGGTGGTGCCATTTTGATGATTGGATGTGAAATCGAAATTAGAATCGAACTATTGTTGGGTTGAGTTATGAAGAGGCACTGTATCTTATGGTACTGGTGTATACTTCAGGGAGGGATGGAAGAGAACTTTATACCTAGACAAAGTCTCTAGATGTGGCATCTATCTGCCATATTTGCATCACACGCTCGGAGATACAGACGGAGTTCGATCTCTCTAACTCCATGAGAATCATATAGCATACACCTTAGTGAAAGAATACATTCACCCCATAAACTTTGACTTCATAGGTAGACGTACACTTGTTGCCGAATTACAGATGTTGATGTTGATATCTTTGACCACTTCGAGCTAACATTGATATTCATCCAACAATGCCCCCACTCAAGCACCATTTATTGGCCAATATACCCGATTTAATAATGTGTATCCAAAACGTGACTTTTTTTAATCTAATCAACTTTTTGCTAAATCCTGTATTGAAATAATTCAATTGCTTTCAATTCAATCAATATAATTTCAAATTGAAAAAATTCTATATAGAAATATAGATCTCAATTGATAAAATCTATATTTAAAATTTGAATAAATTTGATTAAAAACTTATTGAATTGGAGGTAGTTGAATAAAAATTCAATTTTCGAAAGTTCAAAAACCTGAAAACTATTCCAAAAATTATAATTTTATTTAATTATTTTCAATTTAATGAATTTTCAATCAATATTATTCATATTTTAAATATAAATTCTATCAATTGAAATCTATATTTCTATACAGAGTTTTTTTAATTTGAAGTTATATTGATTGAATTGAAGTTTTTGATTTTCGGAATTCGATTAGGTGATATTCGAAAAAGTGCTTTTTTTTCTGGACACATGTTATTAAATCGGGTGTAGCATATAACTGCCACTGATGTATGATAAGCAGGTTGCATAGAACTAAGTCGAAGTAGGCTCCGCCGTGGCCCGTGGGGAAGGTCCTTCTTTGAACTTAGCATTATCCTGGGCTCTTGGTTGGATCTTTTTAATTTATCACCAAGAACCTTACCCCTCCAGCTTCTTCGATTATCGCCTGCTCGTACGAGTTTTGATTTATTCTCAATATGCCCGAAGTCGTTTGCATTATCAAACTACAATCTCTAATTCCCGAGAGATTCATCCTCGATTTTCGGACGAAACATAGATGGTCATCAAGAACTGATTTGCAACATGCCACCCAAAGTCGAGCTCACACGTATGTCTCAACAGACTGGGACCAGATGTATGGACGATGATTGGACCGGAGCAAGCGATTCAGCAATTAGAAGAAAATTACAGAATCGCTTGAACCAGAGGATATACCGTGAGAGTTCTTGCTGTGGATTATTGGTGTTGAGACTTGGTGTTTGCTCAAGTGATTGTCGCTAACTAACTGTTTCGTACGTACCGTCAGGTCAAAGACGTAAAGCTCCATCGAAACCCCATGAAGACCGCGAAAACGATTCTTCAATTGAAGCTTCACAGCTCCGAGAGCGATCAATCCTTGGTGAAGCCAAAAGCACACATTCTGCGAACCCGTTATCGATAACGAACCTCCGTATCGAGAAACAACCCAGCCAACTCGAGCAACCAAGCAATTCTTCTACCACATCATCGGCAGATATAAGTATAAAGCGATGGACAACAGGTCGCGTGTCGAGATACCAAGGGTTCTGTGAGATTCGACTGATGCTGGCCACATTCGAGGAAGAAGCTCGTAAGAATTATTCGATGGGCTCTCCACGAACAGATCAACTTCTCACCCTCATTCAATTCAACGTTTTTCGCGCATTGATCAAAAACACGCGAACAATAGGTTGGAACTTGGATTGGCTGGACTGTACTATCGATCCTCTATCCCCGTGGCTTAATCTTTCCACAAAGTTTGTTCCGGGAGCGCATTGTCCTCAAGCATTGTGTCCAACAGAGATTCAGCGCACAATCCCTCATCATCCATGGCTAGATCTTTGGCCAATTCCTCAAATGCGCGATAACCTATTGTTGCATGCTGGAAGTTACGATGAAGATCGATTGTGTAATGATCTAGTGGAATTTGGAGGTCTCATGAACGAACAATCCGGCCTCATTGTTTGGGGAGAACCGTGGGATATTTGGGGATGGGAGGTTAGTGAGACCTTCTTGAAGAATTGGGGATGGGCTCTCAAGGGTTGTAAAGAGTTATTGGCTTCAACAAATGCTTGGAGGGCGAAAAGAGGAGAGGAAGCTCTTGTTTTTGAAGTCTGAGCAAACTACCTGACCTTGGGACGAAGCGCCGGATGTTATATTGAATTAGACTCTCAAATCTTGGGCTCTGCGGGTTATCACATATGGGTAAGGTTAATTCCTTCCTACTTGTGCAGCCAAGAATCACATCCAATATCGTCTAGCAAACACCACCAACACCACCAACACCGCCAACGTAACGACGGGATAATCTGCCTGATAAAAACAGCAGAAATACAACTCCATTGGAACACGTACTCAATTATGGTCTTCCAGCTACCATTTTAGCTAACAATTCATGCGCCATCTTCTACAATCTACGGGGAAAGCTACGTAACGTCAATCTCACCTATGGGAGAGGGGGAGGGGGTCGAGGGGGTATCATCATTGCAAAGTGTTGATATGCACAGAGCATCAAACGATCTAAACTTTACTCACACCTAACCTAACCTTATAATTTCGCTCGGTTCAAAAAACTGTCTGCAGTTCCAACCTCTCAGAATAATACTGTTTGTTTTTTTCGCCGCACAGCAACATGAGAGAAGGATCAAAACGCAGAAAGTTCAGTAGGCTCGCGCTATTGAGACGGAGCGCAGAGTTGACCAACCTCTCTCTCGTGGTGTCCTCTGATTGGGTTTGCGAATAGAAGAAACGAACAAGAATGATGCTAATCAAGGTAACATTTTACGTAGGAGATTCAAATCGGTCGATCGGAAGTAGCCTTTCGTTGTTCATTCGACCGAGCTGTTAGCAGATGAATCTGATTGTGTAAATTTGATCCTCTAATGTGACTTCCATTTCCATTCACATTCTGTTGTCTTACTGTCAGATGCTCTTGGCACGAGTCAATATTTAACAATATCTCGCGAATCGGCTTGGGCCAAGCTCGGAAAGGACAAACATTTGAAAGAATGTAAAGTCTTTCATTTGCTGTTTGATCTAAATCTCAATTACGACTCGATTTACGGTTTCAAGTGCCGAAGTTAATGTTTCAATCGAGGGCCTCGGAGGTTTAACAATGGCACGGCCGAGTCAAGTGGCTCAGTTGCATACATCACAAAACTCAATGGTTTGAATCAGCAGACTAGCACTAAGACTAAGGTACAACATCAATATTTTCTCCACAATTTAGAAAGCAAAGTAACTACCTAGGTACTAATCGCCACATGCGTCACACGAACTACAAAAATCAAAAGTGTCAAATGGTGGAGGTAAATTGCCCAGGCCATTCCTACGTGACCACAATATGACATAGTCTATTTGTCAGTTCAAAGACATCTGCTGCCTCGGCAGATAAAAGAGATTTCCGTCGTCCAATACAAACTATTCCTTAAACTTTCTTTTGAATGCCAATGCCTATGTATCAAGTGATCCTCATTGTGCCGCCGATTGGCGCTCTTTCCTGTGGAAACCCGCAACTCCTCATCCCAAAGTGTTCAAACTACCTTATTAAGTTGAGACCTCAAAAATTGAAAAGAATGGACTACGCATACATAGCACATATTACCAGCCATTTACAGTCTTGCAAATATTGACAGCTGCTGGATCCACAATTTCAACGCGCGCTGACCTTGTTTCATTGATTCTTGAACCTCTTGTGTGCTAGAACACCTAGCCTCTCTCTTCACGAAACTGAATAAAAGCATTGGGGAAGCCCGTTTCCCAGAAGTAAATTGGACCTATCCACTCCGGCTCTTCTTTCCCACTTTAACAAGACTCATAATGTATCGCTCGCTTGTTTCTTTGTGTTGTGTACTTGGCTTAGCTGATATAGCCACCTCACAATCTGCCACCTCGCAGCAATCTACTGCCAATGCAGAAGCTGCTTTCAAGCAGTTGCAAACATGGTACGACGCCACTTCTGGACTCTGGACTACAACAGGATGGTGGAATTCGGCCAATTGCTTAACTGTTATTGGTGATCTCGCTGCCGTCGATTCAAATGTCAAATCGACCGTCACCAGTGTTATGTCAAACACCTTTATTCAGGCTCAAAAATCCAACCTACAAATGATGAAAGTTGTATTAACAGACTACAATTACCTATCAATGTATGGAGATTCTACCGGCGACATGAAGAGTCTTGCTCTGGCAAGTGAATTCCCCGTACACAAAGCAACGACTGTGAATCCTTCGGGTTTCTTGAATGATTATTACGACGATGAGGGTTGGTGGGCATTAGGTTGGATTCAAGCGTACGATGTTACAGGAAACGGCGACTATCTGACTATGGCTGCGGATATTTTTGCCGACATGAAAAATGGCGCGACCACACCCTGCTCAAATGGCGCTGCGGGAATTTGGTGGGACAAACCAAATACATATGTAAACGCTATTGCGAATGAACTATATTTGAGCGTGGCTGCTCATCTTGCTAATCGCGCAACGGGATACGATAGCTCGAATTATTTGACCATTGCGAAAAATCAATGGACTTGGTTTCAAGGGACTGGAATGATTAATGCACAAGGAACAATCAACGATGGATTGACGAGTTCATGCCAGAACAACGGAGGAACCGTTTGGAGTTATAACCAAGGCGTTGTTCTGGGAGGACTCGTTGAACTTTCGAAGGCAACGGGTGACTCTACTTATCTTAGTACCGCGAAAAGCATTGCAACAGCGGCAATCGCAGCACTTTCAGACTCAAACGGAATCCTTCATGACGTATGCGAACCGGACTGTGGAGCAGATGGTGCACAATTTAAAGGAATCTTCATGAGAAATCTCCAGAAACTTCACCAAGCATCACCCGATTCAAGGTACCTAACATTCATCGCAAACAATGCAAAGAGCATATGGGCAAACGATAGAGATACAAAGAATAACATCTTGGGTGTTAATTGGGCAGGACCATTTATCGCACCGGGAGATGCGAGTACGCAGAGCTCAGCGCTGGATGCTCTTGTAGCGGCGGTTGCGGTTGGTGGTGGAGGGATTGCAAAGGCAAGGAGATGGGTTGCTTGATGTGTATGGGAGGTGTGTGAGGACTTAAGAAGTCGTAATTTTGAAAGATAATATGGATCAATGGAGTTTGGGTTTATGCGGTGTTAGGCTATGGTTATTGGTGACATGGAATGTCAATACTTTGGGAGTTTTACGGGATGGATATCAGATTTTACTGTGGATACTGGATAGGCTACCGGCGGCACTGCTATATTGATACCTCGTCATTCTGAATTAAATATCCAATTGAACATATATCAAGTGCTCTAGAAAGCTTTCCTGATTTTCCCCGTGCACCACGTTTCTTTTCGTGATAAGTCGTGGAAAATATCCAAGCACCTATTTGTGCGGCAGCAGCAAGAACTTCAGAGTAATAGTTGAAAACTCACATCAAACTCACAAGACGCGTTCTAGATCCACAATCAATAGTTTACAGCGCAATCGATAGAACTGAATATATATAGAACTCATCCTTGCACTTGCGCCATCGGGAAAAAAGAGTCCAAGCTGTGCATTGACATCGATAGCTTCACTATCGCGATTATCTCACGAACATTGTCCGAGCACTACCAATCTAGTGGACGAGTATCTTTCAAAGATAAGAGACCCTCGAGCCTTAGGATCGGAGCACTACGTGCTAAGTCAACTTGGCTACTGATATATGTAATGGATAGAGTCTCAACATCATGAATGCAGAGACGGGCTTTGTTTCCGAGTGTGTGGTTCATTAGACTTTGTTGGATCCTGTTTCGTTTTATAGACACAAGGGAATAGGGAGAGGAAGAAGAATTGCAATATGTATCATGATAGGACATTATTCGTTATTACTGTTCAATCATCAATTACCAATATGGCGTCTACTAAAATGTCTGTCTGTTTGTGTATCCGTACGGATATGCCTGTTTGTACATCAAGATCTATCCAGCGATTTTCTCTCCTCCCATTATTATAAATCTGTTCTCTCCTCTCTGTCACAATAACTCAACCAATCTACCAAACCCCCTCTCATACCAACCCTAGATCAGAATTCAGAAATAAATAAAATCTACAACAAAACAACTGCGGCACCAGCAATCAAAGCAAGCATTGAACCAGCTTGAACAGATGTCGCTGCGCCAGTGAAGACAGGTGTGGTAGCTGTACTTGTGCTCTTTGGTCCGGAACCAGTACCCGATGGAAGGACGCTATAGCTTGGTTTGCTGGTGCCGGTAGTGGAGTTACTATATGTTCCTGGAGAACCAGAACCAGAACCAGAACCAGAACCAGAACCAGAACCAGAACCAGTACCAGTACCGGAGCCGGAACCCGAACCGGAACCAGAACCAGAACCAGAACCAGTACCGGAGCCGGAACCCGAACCAGAACCGGAACCAGAGCCCGAACCATGACCTCCTGATGGAGATCCCGAGGGACCAGAGCCAGAGCCAGAGCTGCAATCGGTTGGGGCAGGTCCATCGGCATAGACTGTTACGGTCTTTGGTGGGGCGCACATGGAACCGATGGAGGTAGGTTGGACGAACCAGATCATGGGGCTGGTGAATGTTACGGTCTCGATAACCTTGGAGATGGCGGTTGTGGTGGCAGTAGAGAAGGCGGTAACGGTTGAGTTCTTGGTCGCGTACGCAGTGGTAGTAGCGACGGAAACGGAAGAAGAGGTAGTGGGGTCAACGCATGATCCGGTGAGGGAGAAGGCATTGGACTGGGCGTAGATGACGTAGGTATTGGTTCCGTTGATGAAGTTTAGTTGCCATCCGTAATCACTGCTCACGTCACAGGGAATGGTAACATCGACGCTGTTCTCGGATTGTGGAACATTCTGAGCGAGGGAGATGACGGTAGGAGGCCAGTCTTTGAAGTTGACGAGGTAGATAGAGAATTGGGATGCATCAGTATCGACGGAGGACCATGTCACAGTGGTGGGTTTACCCTTTGCAACGGTGGAGTTGAGAGTTGGGGTGAGGACGGTGTATGCGGAGGCCGCGGCCACCAAAGTGGTGAGGGAGAAGATCTTGGAGAACATTATGAAGAAGAATATGAAGATTGGAGAATATTAATTAATGAAAATTTGGAAAAGAGTGTAAGTTGGCAAAGCCTGAGTTGTGCTAAAGAGCGTGGGTGGTAAATAAAACCTAAAGGAGGATATTCTCGATTCTTGAATAGAGAAAATATCTGACGGACGAAGGATTGGCAAAGAGTGGGTAGCTTGGATGCTTTTGTATTCATCGACCATCAACACCGTAATCTCACCAACTCCCTTGGACCAAATCACATTTAGTCATAAGTAATATATGTAGGTAGGATGCAAACTTGCGGCACATGTTTGTGTAATTTCCCTTCATACCCCTGATTTTAGTACTGATCTTACTTATCTCAATCCCATCAAACCAACGCCAGGAGTAC